GCTGTCAGCCTGGAGCTGGAAACAGCTTTCCCTGGAATGGCTGTAATGACTCCTGCCCCTGCTTCTTTGAGGTCTCAGCTGAACTATTCCTGAGTCCTAAGGGTCTGCAGGAGAGAACTGGAATGGGTGGTAGTTCCCAGCATGGCTAGTGGGGAGGTCAGCATCATGACAGCCAGAGCGGACCTGCTCCTCTGTCCCAGGCTGATCCATCCTCACACTCCAATTAGAGCTGTTAGTAGATGAAGATCAATAAGCACACCCAGGAGAAGATTTGGAACCCCTAAAGGGTTGCCAGGTAAACTGTGGAAAACCCCATGATGATTTACCTATGCGTAACTATCAGACGAAGGCAGAGTTAGGAATGAAAGAAAGGTCCCAAATCTGTTTTTAGTTGAGGGTTAGGGTTAGGGTTAGGGTCTCTGTAACAAAAATACTTAGCTAGTGATTTGCTGTTACTTAACTTTTGCTCTAGCATGGTAAAGGGATCTTAAAACAGCCCTGATAATTCTTACTATTACAAAGCACTGATTGCCAGCAGATCTCAAACTGCCTTACAAGCTGACAGAAGAGAAACAGTTTGAGTTGCTAGCAGTGACAGAAACAACTTGTTACACTAGTGTAAGGAGCCACAGCTCGTCAAACATACTTTAAAGGGCTTTTTCAGGATCAGTGTTGTGTTTCCAAAGGAAAAGGACATGGAGTTCTTGGTCATCTGGCAGGTCACTGGTGGGTGAAGGAAAAAAAGCAGGTATTGGTTCCCAAACTTGTGCTCTGCCCTCCATGCGTAACTGCCTTCTCCATCACTCCTTCTTACAAAGTGCAGTATTTTGTGTTTGAAAACAAAACAAGACCACAAACAAACCCCCCTAAATTTCTGTGCCTAGCAGCTTGGCATCTTCTTCCCATGTCCTTGCTAAGGTATGTGTCTCGCTGCTTCATGTCCAGTCTAATGGCTCCACTAAGTGCAAAGTGTTTGCCTAAAAGCTTACCCAGGAAGAGCTGGTGAAACAGTTGCTGCTTGGTCTGAGCTGTGCAGACTGGCAGGCTGTTGGCTTCTGGGAGGTGCTGATTGTCTCGAGAACAAGGCAGAAGAACTGGTGTCCCTACTCCTGGAGATGCAGATGAGGTTATAAGCAGTGGGCCAGTAACCCCTGTTATCTCTTGGTACTTCTGGCAGTTCTTCCCACTGCAATGTCCAGAAGTACCTCCTCTGTGCAACCATAATTCTGTGTCTTTTCTGTCCCCTGAGGGTTTTCAGAAGTCAAGCCCAGGCTGTGTCCCTGCTGTTCGCAAAGCCTTCCAGCAGCTTAAGGATCTGTTCCTGAGCGGAGGTAAGGAGATGATAGCCCTGCAGATGGCTTCCCAGGGGCTGGCAGCAGACAGTCACAGCCATGTGGAAAAGAGCTGATACAGCTAGGTCTCCAGTTAGTTCCACTAAATCAATGCAGATGTCCACCTGGCTTCCTCTTCCTGCTTGTTTTTTGATTTAATGAACAGTTTCAGTTAGCACTGAAATTCGTAACTGACACAAAAATAAAAACATCAGTGTAGGAGCTTGCACAGTGTTAATGGAACTGTCTTTGATGCACCAAAATGCAAAAATACCTGCAGGTGCAAAACACCTGCGTTTTCTGATGGTAAAACCTGATGTTTTGTTAGATACTTGTCCTCAGCACTCACACTGTTGAGAACTGTTCAGGTGTGTATGACAACTGCATGGCTCGGCTACTGGACAATCTGAGACAAAGGCAATCTAGGTCTTGAAGCAGCCATCACAATCTCTTTCATCTCCAGTTGTGTAGTTAGGTGAAGACAAGGACAGAGGCTGGTGAAGATCCCTGCACTGTCTCCCAAGTAGGCCAGATGAGGTGTCACAGGCCAGTGCAGCATCATTTGGGGGCCCTGCATGGTGTTGGGAGAGCTGTGGTGGGTTCTTGGCCTGTCTCAAGGCTTGGCTTTGTCTGTGGTGCTCATGGCAGGGGCTGTGCCTCACAGCAGCAGCTGGTCCTGGAATTGTTCAGAGGAGCTGGGGTCCAAAACCCCACTCAGCTTTGGGTCACAGCAGGAAAAATGTTACTGTTAAATAGCCAAGCTCTTCAAGGCCTCCGTGGGGCCATGCTTTCTGTAGCTGAGTGGATAAGGTGGTCATATTTAAGGCTTAGGCTCTCAAGTAAATGTCCAGAGACAAGTCCCAGGCTTCCAAGTAAAGACAGACAAGCTCTGATGGGTAGCTTCTAGGGTAGGATGGGGACTGCAACTCAAAAACGGGGAGGATGAAGATGAAGGGAGCAGCTTTCCCCAGCAGAAATTCAAAGGTATATGAGTGCATCTTGAAGGAATGTCTTCAAAGACACATTTCCTGACTCCAGCTGACTGGAGTTTGAAGGCACATCTCAGGAATCCTTTGTGTCTTTGTGAGAACCATTCTTCCTTGGCAATTCTTGCTGCAGACCTGCATGGGAGCTTGCCTGGGGACACTGCCCGGCAGGACACAGCAGACCCCAGGCAGGGAGCCAGCAGGAGCAAAGAGGAGGCAGCCAGGCCAGGGCATGGGCAAGGACAGGCTTGTACTAAGATGCTGTTCTCACTGTGCCAGCTGGGACTGCTGCTGTCTCAGTGGGTGCTGATTGCCTGGGCTCCCCTGGGAAGCTGCACAGAAAGAATATGCCTGAACATCCCCATGTTGTAAATCAAGATATAATGTGTCATTCCCACTAGAAACCTCATCTGTGTGTTACAGCATCCCCTTACTCCTGCGTGAAACAAGATGCCGAAGCCAGGTATTACTTTCCTCTGTTAAAGTTTGTGGTTTTCATTTTCCTTTCTTCTGCAGCCTATGATGAAATTAGCAGTAAAATGGCCACATGCAATAAGATCTCTAACAAGGAGGATGTTTACCAGCTTTTTGGATTTGCTAGGAATGCCTTCACCATGATGGCCATGATGAACTACCCTTACAAAACCGATTTCATGGGTCACCTCCCTGCCAATCCAGTGAAGGTGAGTACCAGGACACAGGAGAGTGTTGGGGTTTGTGAGTGCAGGGTCTGCACAGCCTGGGACAGTCAGGCACACACCATTGGTGATGGTGACAGGGGGAGGTTGTGGTGGATATTGCAGCCCTTCTACTCTAACAGTAACTGGTTAAACAATAGCTGTTTAAACTTGTATCTGTTGGTGACTGCTGCATTTGAAACGGACTGTATAAAGCTCATCAGGGAGCATTTTCTGAAGGCATTCCTACCCTGCTCTGCCTTTACCTTAGATGCAAAGGCCTGTGCAAGCTTGGTGACTTCAGCTTTTAAACACTAAAGTTGCTATGTTGTAGCCCACATACTTTTGTAGATGTATTTTTCTTGGTGGGTAGAGATGGAGATCTAAAAATCAGGCTCCTTTCTAAGTATCACCAGTTGCTGTTGCAGTTGGTTTCATCTGGTGTGCTGTCAGCCTCATGCTGCTCTTCTTTGCTGCACACAGCACACCACACTGATGGGACTTTATTTGTCTCTGGCCTTGTGGCATTTACGGCTTGAGCCCTGCCTGGAGCAAAATACACATTGCATGAGAGGACATACAGACTACACTGTACTGGGACTCAGGAGATGCTGTCTTTGGCTCCACTGGGCATCCAGTTCCTTTCTAGGGACTGAGTAACAATCTGTAAAATGGAAGTAATCATTCTACCTCCACTTGAGAAGGACATTAGGAGGTGCTGTTGCCTATCACTGTGGCCTCTGCACAGCTATTTAACTTGGTAAAGGAACTGTTTGTCCTGGCCCTGTCTCCTTGTTTCTATGTATTTTGTTGCTAGAAGGAAGGAAAAAACCCCCAAACCAACCGACCAAAAAAAAAACCCGACCCTAAAACCACCACCAAGCCCCTACCTCTTGTATTAGACCCTTGGAAATCTGCTGAACCATAAAATATGTAAGCAATAATTTTAATGACCCTTCCAGCTTAGCTCTTGCAGAAAGCAGATACTGTTAACTATTCTGTCTGCAATTTGCCTGTAATGTCTCATCCAGGTCAGCTGTGAACAAATCCTTGCCCACACAGACCCAATTCAAGGCTTGGCTGCTCTTGTTGGTGAGTTAATATTATCATGGTCTTCAACACCCTGTTCTCTAGAAGCACCTGTAAGTAGAACTGTTGCATTGTTGTGCAGGATATGTATTGTGGGAGCTTGTGTGATTCCCATCTCCCACTGGGATGTTTTGCCCCATATTGTCTATTGGGATACCCTGTGCTGACCCATGAGTTCATCTTCTCACCTTTCCAGACTTATTCTTGTTAGGTTTTTCAGCATTGCAGCCCCTTAGCCTGGAACCATCTGTAAGATGTGGACTTCTAAGGTACTTGATTCTCTTATAAACGTTTAGCCATCTCAAGCAGTCACAGGTTCAGTGCATGTTCACTGATGGAAGGTTTCTGGTCTGCTTGTTGAGGACAAGGTTGTCCTCATAGTGACCTATGACCCAGTGGCAAGACAATCTTAAATCTATCATCATATGTCTCTGTGAATCCTCAGTTTGTCAGCCAGCAGTGTTTGTAAGGGAATTATTAGAGAGAGAATTCAAAGCTCTTTTATAGAATCATAGAATCATAGAATAGTTAGGGTTGGAAAGGACCTTAAGATCATCAAGTTCCAACCCCCTGCCATGGGCAGGGACACCTCACACTAAACCATATTACCCAAGGCCTCGTCCAACCTAGCCTTGAACACTGCCAGGGATGAAGCATTCACAACCTCCTTGGGCAACCTATTCCAGTGCCTCACTACCCTAACAGGAAAGAATTTCCTCCTTATATCCAATCTAAACTTCCCCTGTTTAAGTTTTAACCCATTACCCCTTGTCCTACCACTACAGTCCCTAATGAAGAGTCCATCCCCAGCATCCCTGTGTGCTCCCTTCAGATACTGGAAGGCTGCTATGAGGTCTCCATGCAGCCTTCTCTTCTCCAGGCTGAACAGCCCCAACTTTCTCAGCCGATCTTCTTTTGAAGACTTCCTCATAAAATCTCTCAAGCTGCTCATTACAAATAAGTTCTACCTTGGTTGGTATTCAGAAAACCAGGTCCTGAATGACAAAAAAAAAAGTTATTTAAGGAATTCTTACGGGTTTAATGCAGCTTAGGAGGATTGGGAACTAATCCTTTTTTTCTTTTTTTTTCTCTGTAAATTATGCATGTCACCATGATAGCACCAAGTCAGAAACGTGCAAATTCCAAATCACTGCTAAAGATGCTTGGGTGCTTGACTGGCGGCTAGAGCAGTTGTTAAAATACTAATGTCTTGGCAAACAACTGTTGTGTCTGCTTTACATATTCACATCCTACTTCTGTGAGCCAGAGTGGAACTCTGGTTCCTTTGTGGTGAACAAGCTGAAGACAGATTTCTTCCTCCTGCCTGCAGGGAAGCACTTGGTACCTCTCCCCGTCCCACCAGCTGCATTCACTTGGGACAGTTTAATCATGCAAGAGGCATGATCCACCAGAGCCTTAGGCAGGGGACTGGCTTTCTTCCATATACCCCCCTCTGTGTCATACAGGAAAACACTGTCTTCTTTCTGCATGTGCTGCAGGGCCCCACCTCCTGCAAGGTAGAGTGTAGTGTCATGGGCTGCGATGCTGAACTGGCAGCACTTGAATGGGGGTGACTTTAGCGTTGTCCACTGGTTGCTTCCAGGACAATAATACTCCATCTCATTCACATGAATCCATTCTTCCACCTGCAAAGAACAATACCAACACTCACACTTTGTATCGTGCCTGTCACATCAGGCTCGTCTGGTTCATGATAAAGAAAATCAGTGTCTCAACATTGATTTAAATGCTGTAGGGCTTAAGAGGCTAAATGTTTTATCCACATTTAGCAATCAGAGCCTCAAAAGGAGCTGAACAAAGTTCTGGGATGGCATGGCTTTGAAGGAGCTTTCTTCTTGGAAAACCAGAAGAGGGAGCTGAACAGGGGGCCACAGGGACCTGCTTGAACTGACACAGCCCAAGTCGTGCCTGCTCTCCAGACTTTTAACACATGCCAAGGGAATCATCTGAAGTGGCTATATTGCATTGAATTGTGGACAATAACTGAGTTTGTGTCATCCAGAGGAATTGGATGTCAGCCTTGATGTACAGTTTCTCTTTTCTATCCCTTCCTCAGTGAGTAACTACGTGCTCTAAGACACCCTCATTACTTCAGAAGAAACCATACCCCTCAGGCTGTAGTGGGGCCAGGCCCTGAGTCATTACACTTTCAAATGGGAATTGCCAGAATGATCTTTGAAAACTCAGTTGTCTTGGCTTCAGGGAAGAGGATTCCCTTAGAGTGAGCCCCTCAGTCACCATGGGCAGCGCTTTCCCTCCTCTTTAAGAGGTGGGAAATCGAGGTTTTCAGGACTTGACCCCATCTTTCCTGAACTCTAGCCTAGTGTCCTCACTGCAGCCCATTCCTCTTCTAGTCTGTCAGTGTTTCACTCCTTCCAAGTTCCAACAAGGAAAATCTGGTGGTCAGTGTGTGTACGTGACAGGTTTTCCTGCATTAGCAGCCTGCACCTCCACCTGTGTTTCCTCTGCTTAAAGAAAATGCTTTTAGCAGCCTTTGTACTCCAGCAAATAAGAGTGTAGCAAGAGAGATGCTTCTTATGTGCATGACTGTAATGGCAGGCACATTTTCATCAGCTTATTGGCCTGACTTGCAACTGCACCAGTCCGTTAAGAGGCTGGTACCTGATGGAATAGAAACATCAAGGCCTGTCAAGAGGGAGACCCCATTTTGGATCAGATACGAGACTATAAGAGCAAATAAACTTACTCCTTTCAGTGTCCTTCCTCCAATGCAAAAGATGTTGTCTCTGACTGTAGCCATCCCATGATCACAGCGGGTAAAAGCCATGGCACTATTGCATATCCAGCGTCGGAGGTGTGGGAGGTAGCTGTAAGTGTCTCCTAAGGTTTTACCCCCAGAGAAGCCCCCTGGAAGGAGAGCAGAAGTCCTGAAAACCTGTCCCTCGTCCTGGCTGACATCCAGCAAACCTTCTGCAAGCATTAGTAGAGCTGATTTATTATTTTCTTACAATACCTAGGCAGATCAGGTTTAAAATTTCACACATCCTGCACAGCTGATGTGCTGCAGAATTCACAACCTGAGCTGCTCCCCTATTTTAAAACCAAAACCAGAACAAAAATCCAACCAAAACAGTTCCAGCTCTTTCTGTAAACTGGGGGGTTTCCAGCTCTTGGGGTATTTCAGATGTACCCAGGAGCAGCTGGGAATTCCATTAGGCAATCTGCTTCCAGCAGTCACAAAATGGGGATGTGAAGGAAAAGCATTGAAAGCTCTCTCTAAACCCTGGGTCTTCCGCAGAAGCTCATTGCCAATCTGCCAGGGCCGTGGTCAACCTTCTCTCTTAGGCTCTCACTTGTGTATTTCAGTGTGCATTATAAAACCCTCCTTGCAGAAGGCAAGTGCTGCTGTGGGGAGGAGAAACGTCTCCAGTTGCCAGTCTGTTCAATTCCAGCCCGCAGAGCCTTTGCAAACAAGGAAGATGGTATTTCAGGTTCGCTGTAGACCCCAGCTCACCTGGACACAGACACTTTGTCTGCTTGGACCTTGGGTTTAAATCCTGTATTAAAGTAATGCTCTTAATTGTTCTGTTTCCTTGGGCAGGGCTGTAGACTGGCCAGATCCAAGTTGCAGTTAACTGCACTAGTTTATGAATCCTGTAGGGAAGATCTTGCACCTGAGGGGTATAGTGTTACCCAGGCTAGATTGCTATGGTGTGTTTGAAGCTCTGTGAAGCAATTTTGTCCTTGCTTTCTGGTAGGAATAGAGACCAACAGAGGTTACAGGCTGATTCAAAGCAGGGACTTGAATAACTTGAGTCTCAGCCATTCCCCACCTGAGTCTTTATCAGGAGCCTTAGCTGTCACTGGGGTATGTGTTCTGGGGCAGGACAGCTTGTGTGCTACCTTCTCTGCTCTTGGGGCCTCAGGTGTACAGTCCATCACAGAGAAGTGTCCTTCATTGCAACTGTGCAACTGAAGTTAATCTGGACTGGATCAGTGCAGTGATCCCAGCTGGCTGTAAGTGGTTTCTGGAGCAGGGAGCCTGCAGCAATGGCAGACTGGCCCAGGAATTCTAACTCAGAGGTAGTAACACAAACAACAGTGCTTTTCCTAGGACAAACTAAAGATTATCTTTTAAGTCCAAACTAGTAGCTGCAAAAGCTAAGTATCTTACAATACTTTCCTGAAGTGTTTAAACCCGTGCTGCTTTACTGTCAAACACCCTGCACCATCTGCCAAAAATCCCTCTAAAGACTAAGGATCCCTTATACAGTAAGAGCCTGCATTATGCTTCTGTTTGTACAGGTTGACAAAGCAGCACAGGAGCGTTAGTCCCACATCTTCTACTGAGATTAATATCCGGGTTTAATCCCATCCCTAGCACTATGGCAGCCTGCTCCTGGTTTACCTTTCAGACAGCAAAGCTTTGGGATTCAGCCAGGATTGCAGGGTCAAAGGTGAGCAGGGATCTGGGTTACAAGTAGATGGTATCCCCTTTAATGTCTTGAACAAAGACATTAAAGGTGACACTGGAAGAACATAGGAGGGCAGTGAGGTTGTGGTAAAACAGCAGGAAACGGACCCTGGAGCAGTGGGTGCAGGCTTAGACTGTGATGTTAAGATGCTAGCAAAAATCAACAAAACTACATGAAAATATGTTGCTTTCTGCCATCTTTATCACCTGAAACATAGAGGATTCCCTTGTGGGTCGTGCCTGCATGATCAGCAATAGGCATGGGGAAGGGAGCTGCGAACTCCCACTTGTTGTCAGCGGGCTGGTACAGTTCCACCGTGCATGTGAGGGTCCCCAGCAGTGTCCCACCACCCACGGCGATGATGCGGTCGGACAGCACGTCAGCGTGGAAGCGCGTCCGCCTCTGCAGCATGCTGGCGACCTGGAGCCAGGAGGTGTTGCGGGGATCAAATCGGAAAACCTGGGATCACAGCAGAAGGCTGAGGGTTAGAAGGTGGCATGTGACTGGCTTGTGAATTGTGTGGCTTCAAGAGCTGAGAAGCAGTTCCCTAGGCTAAGGAAGGTTTTATATTCAGACCCGAACGGGCTCAACTTCTAGTGCCAGCCATCGGCTACAGCAGCACCTCCCAGCAGAGCTGGAGGCTCCGATAAGGCCTTTCTGGAGGTCCTGGGGGGTCTGGGAATAGGTTGTTCTCCCAGCCTTGCCTGCTGCTCTTGTCCAGGAGTAGGCAGGGGTGGCTTCCCCTCCCCTTACCCCTGGTGACAGTACCAGAGGGGCACAGAGCCTCCACTCGCATCTTGTTCAGTGTTTTTTCAGAAGCTTGTTTTGCCCCTCCTGTTGGAAAGCCCAGGTCACTGAGCAAGGGCAGTGTCTGCAGAACCACATGGGGTGGATGCTGAGCTTTGGCTGTAGCCCTGCTGCTGCAGCATTCTCTGCTCTGCTGCTGCTGAGCTGCCTCCTGCCTTCGAGGCAGTGGAAGGGAGTCGCTGTTTGCAGTGGCACTGTTGGGCTGTACTGAAATAAGTCCACCTGGGAGCTTGGGAAAGGAGAACATGCTGGGTTTGCTAGCAAGCTCACTGAAGCCATCTAGAAAACAGAAAATCCTGCACAAGTTTTACTCCCCAGGCAGAAGGGGAAGGGCCTGGGACCTAAAGCAGATTTGCATCTCCAGGGCAAACCTGAGGAAAGAGCAGGTCTCAAGTGAACTGGTGAACTTCAGCTTTGCCTCGCAAGGATGGGTCTCATGGCAGCAGCAGTAGGGATGGGGATAGCATTCATGGGGTTGCTTTCTCAACTGATGTGGACCTGGCTGAACCTGCACCATGGAAGTTGGGTACAGATTAGGATAATGATTTACAGTAGAAGCAAGGTGAGACCAGGGCAGGAGCTGATTCCTTCCCAGGCAGTTTGGAAGCTGTGTTTCCAAGGGCTTTCAGTACTGCCCAGAGTGCTAAGAAATGTGTGGAGCAAGCTGTGGTGTGCAAGGGGAATGACTCCCTCCCTTCCTCACCCAGCCATTTTCCCAAGGCTAAATGTTTCTTATGCCTTACCTCATTTGACGGTTGCTTTCCAGTGGGATCAAATTTGCTCTGTCCCCCGATGACAAAGAGAAAGTCATTGATGATGGTGACACAGTGGTTGTACACTGGCCTGCAGAGGTCCCCGACCTTGTGCCAGGAGCTGCAGCTCTGGTCCGCAGCCCACATCTCTCTGCACACATGGTTGGTGGTGGTTCTGCCACCAGCTACAAGCAGCACCGTGGAGCCACCGCGGAGGCTTGTGCTCTGGGTCTGCAGGACTGGCTGAGCATACAGCTGGGAGTGGTAGTTCAGAGCCTCCTGCACGTACCTGTGGCAGCCGGAATCCAGCCTCATTTCCTGGACACATTGCTTCAGATCCCATAAGGGAATGAGAGGGAATCTGATGTGCCTTAAAACCTCTGCTGCATCTTTCAGCCGTGTGCGGTCGTGCTGCAGCCAGCTCATGGCAGCTCTGAACAGCTCCAGCTCGCTGCATCCCTCTGAGTCGGTCTTGGCCAAAAGTTCACAAAGGGTTCCTCGGTCTAGGTCTTTCAAGCAGTGTGGCTCAGCCAGGATCTGTTTGCAGTGCTGCCCTATGTAGCACATGGCTTTCTGTCTCAGGTCTGCTGGGCCGAGTTTGTTAACGATGTTCAGAACATCCACGCAGTTCTCACAGTTCAAGCAGCCCTCCAGGAAGTGGAAGCACAGCTTGATCACCTCCCGAACCAGGAGGGTTTCTGCAGCTTTGAAGGTCTCCTCAATATTCTGCAATGAGAGGTCTAGTTTGTTGGAGTAAATGAAGTTGAGAACATTCCTCAGCCCGGCAGCACTGACGGTTTTCAGCTGAATGTTGCTGTCTGGGCTCCCCGCTCTGGTCAAGTTTCCAACAAACAGGATCTTGCAGTAGTTACTTGCTGAAGCTAAAATGATCTTGTGGGCTGGAAAGCAAACCCCTTCTGCCTCCAGCGTCACATCACACAGCGCGCTCTGCGTGCGGAGCCTGCTGAGCCCATCCAGGAGTTTAGCCAGGTAGGTGTCTGACACCAGGCTCGCTGTGCTGGCCTGTGAGTGCAGCAGCATGGCTCTGGAAGCAGCCCTGGGACTCAGCTGCATGCGGTCAGTGCATCCCCTGGGCACTCTTCTGCAGCCGGGACAGGCGTTTCCTGCTTCAGGAACGCTGAGGCAGTGCTGCCCAAGCACACGGAGCCATCCAAACACAGCAGCAGCAGCAGCAGTCCCTTCCTCAGCAGCTTCTGCCCAGTGCTTTGCAGGCGCAGTGTGCCTCGTGCCTTGCAGAGCTGCCTGGGGCTGTTTGCAAGTGGAGGGGTTGGTGCTGGTTATCACACAAACCCCCCAGTGTTTGTGGGTTGTGCCTGTTGGCTGTGACACTGGCAGCAGGAGACAGCCACCGGCATAGCCACATTCTTCCTCCTTGCTATCTGGTAACTACCCATCTGCACAAAGAGCAGCTCATTCTTCGGCAGCTCCCCAGCGATGCTTTGTTGGGCGCCTGTTTAGGTGCTCTTTCATCTGGGCAAGCCTGCACACGCCGCCTTTCCTCCTTGAACAACAAACAAAATCCTGTCTGTGACAGGCCACCCTTGGCCCTCTGACTAGATTTCATCACTTCAGGCAACAGCTGCTTTCAAGGAGGGGGTGGGAAGGTCTCAGCACTTGCGTCCTGTTCAGCTTGAAGCAGTCAGCTAACATCCTGTGTGCAGCCTGCTCTTGCTGGTGTTGGAGATGGAGCCTAGGGTTTTCCCAGCACCTAGTGAACCAGTCTTTTGGCACAAGCAGAGAGCACCTGTAGTCTCTTTTCTCCCTGTGGGTACAGCAGAAGCAAAGGGTATCCACAGCCAGGCTTGAGACCATGTGAAAGCTTTGGCATTAAGTCGGGGTTGTAGCCTAATGATAGTCAGCCCCTGCTCCAGGCTGATGCCCTTGTCCAGCTGGGACAGCTCCCCCTTGGGCGTGTGGTTTGGGGGCAAGGTGGTGGGTGAGGCAACAGAGAGGTGCTCACTGTGTTCTGTTCCCCTGGCAGGGGTGTTCTACAACTCCTCCGGCTTGGCGCACTGCTATGACATATACCAGCTGTACCACTCTTGTGCTGACCCCACGGGCTGCGGCATCGGCCCTGACGCTGAGGCCTGGGACTACCAGGTAAAGTTTTGGAGACACCAACAGGTTCCTGGTTATCCTGGTTTCTCCCCCCTACCCTGTGACAGCTCTTCCACCTCTCTTAGGTTTGCACGGAGATCAACTTAACTTTCAACAGCAACAACGTGACCGATATGTTCCCCGAGATGCCCTTCACAGAGGCCATGCGGGAGCAGTACTGCTGGAGGAGATGGCATGTGAGGCCCCGAGCACACTGGCTGCAGATAAACTTTTGGGGAGGAGGTGAGTTGTGCTGGCTGCTCATCCCTTGGCACTGCCCTGCAGTTGTCTGCCTGTCCTGTCTGCCTCTGCCTGTGGGGACAGGCACAACTCACTAACAGGTCCTGGCAGACATTCACAGCCTTGTGGTGACCTGAGCCAAACAGATGTATCTGTATCTCCTCAAGACAAAAATGGTATACCTAAAAACTGCCAAGAATTTGGTTTATTCTCCTGTGTTTTCTGTTCTTGGCCATGTTTGCTGCAGTAGGCAAATAGGTTTGGGTAACTGGGCAGGAAGCGCTGTCACATGTCACCTCTCTGCATTTCAGACCTGAAAAGTGCAAGCAACATCATTTTTTCAAATGGAGACTTGGATCCTTGGGCTGGAGGAGGGGTAAGCATGTGGAGTCCTGCACCCCGCAGCACAGAGAGCAGCCTCTCCAGGTGATACACACACACACACACACACACTCCCCTTTCAGAGCAGCAGTGGCTACATGTGAGTTTCTGCTGGCGGCTGTTTTACACTGAGCCACTAAGGCGCCCCAGGACATTAATGATCATAGACTCACTTCATTTGAGATGAGGCATTGGGCTTATTGGGACTGTCAGCTCTGCACACAATGTCAGGCATACCGGGGGCTCTTCCCGTGCCTGTCCTCAGTCCTGACCAGCTCACCTTGCAGTATTCAGAAGATGCCCAGTTCCGCCTGGTCACTTGGTGAGAGTTTCTCTCTGCTCCTTCTTCTTGCAGATAAACAGCAGCCTCAGCCCTTCACTGATTGCACTGACTGTTAGAGGAGGCGCTCATCACCTGGACCTGCGGTAGGTAGTGAGTTCTCCTTTGGCTGGCAAAATCCTCCTGCCTGAGTGTTAGATCTTAGCCACAGTCCAAAGATCCAGGAGATCCTTTAAAAGGGGCTGGACACAGACTGTCACAGTCTAACTGTACAAGAGCAATCTTCTTCCCTAGTACAGGGCTCGTTCAGCCTCCAGGGAAGCCAGGCAGTGCAGAACTCAGCACTAAGCTCACATACTCCTATTGGAACGTGTTCTTGTACAGGGATTGGCACAAGTGTGCAATAGCCTGTAGCTGTCAGTCACGTGAAATAGTCCAGTGTCTCTTGGCATTAGCCATCAGCCTTCAGCCCCAGAACAGAGGACACCAGCCACCAATGCAAGGGAGAGCTTGGGGCTCTCCAGCCTGCCTCCCAACCTCTTTGTGGACACCACGCTGTAAGTTATTTCCAGGGCATAAATATCCAGTACAAAACAGATAATCTCTGTCCTTCACTTCCCTGGGTTCGCTTTCCCTGTGGGAGAGGCAAAGAGCTGCCCCCACTGACCAGCTCACTGTGCTTTGCTTTCTCTAGAGGACACAATGCAGCTGACCCCCCATCAGTCACACAAGTGCGCAAGCTTGAAGCAAGCATCATCAACAGCTGGGTGAAAGCTGCAAGGATGGAAAGAGCACAGGAGAAGCACCCAGGGGCTTCAGGTGTGAGTATGTCCATCCCCACAGCCTCAGGCCTGCAGGTGAGGCTGCCACTACAATAGAAGACAGAAGCCTGCTGAGCTATGCCTGTGCCATTTGAGGAAGTGTTATCCATGCTGGTGAAAATTCACC